CTTTGGATAAATTTGTAGGGAGCAACCAGTGATGGAGGACTTAGTTGAACACCCTCCTGCCATGCTTGTCACTGGAGTAATTCAGGTTAGGCAAGCATCTTTCCCTGCTCACATGAAAAGAATTCTAAATTAGGGCAAATTGCAAAATATTGTGATGTATTGTGTATTTTCTTTCATAATTCACTTGGTTATTGTTTTCTTACTCTTCTTTCCATGTCTTAAGTACAAAGTGTCTGAAACACTTGATTTTCAACATGTTTATTTTTGATAAATACCACTTAATAACCTCTCAGCTTTCCTCCACGAAGAAGAAAAATTCCATCATCATTAAATATTGATTTAGCCTCTGAGCAATTCCTGTTAAAACCCAGAAGTATTCAATGAGCATTTTCACATCATTTAATTTCCCTCTAGTTACTGGAAGATCAGTAGGAATCTTCTTCTGTCCTTTTAGAAGATGTCTTTGTTACCCAGAGACACTTCAGCTCCTCTCTGTTGCCCTTAGTCCTGTCTCAGATGCAATTAGGGCACTTCAGGGACTCTGGTGTCACTTGTCCTTGCTCAGGTCTGTGTGTGATTGACCTTCATTGTGTTGTGCTGGAAAGAACAGCCCAGATACTCAATTTTGGCTTTCCCAGTTGCTAACAGAGCCCTCTGTGCACTTGAGTGGGGCTGGTTTATGTCTGCAAGGCCTGGCACTTATTCCAGGAGATCTCAATCATCCAGGAGCAAAGGTGCAGACAGCACATCCCCTTCACAGCTCCTTTTGGAGATGTCAGCCAGCTCTGGAGCAGCTCTGGAGTCCTGCCAGCTTCAAACATGAGTTACATATAAATGACATGTTCATGAGTGATTCTGCCTAGATTGTTGGTATAAAAATTGGAATTTCAACAGTTTGGTAAGAATTTTATCTGTGTTGTTGTACAGCCTGGTGGAGATAGTGCTGGTTCTCCCTAGGTACAGGACTGGGTTGTGCCACACACTCGTAGGTGTCACACCAGTCACCAGCCCCCTCTGTGTAGTTCTCTCATCTCAGAGTCCATTTTTGTTGTTCTCCCATGTGTTTTCCATCCTGATCATTTGTCCTCTTTGGCACTTGTCACAGAGTTCCTGACCCCCACTAGTCCCTGTATTTATTTAGCACTGTAAAGAAGATGTGCCCCACTCCCATTCATGAGCACTGTGGCAAACTCCAAACCGTTCTAGGTTTCTCTCAGGGTAATGTTTTATTATTAAAACGATGCTTTGCTGTGTATTTTGGTAACCTGATGGTACATTACTCACCAGAGTCTGTCTCCAATTACACCTCTTGGTTTGGCACAATACAAAAGGCATATCCTCTAATAAATTGTCTTTTTTTATTTCCAAGGTACTGCACAGATGAAAATCAGACATTTCCTCAGCCATTCATGCTGGAGAACCACATCAGCCTCATGCACGGCATCAAAAACCCAGACTTATCCCAGATGGCCAAAGCGAAAGCTCCAGAGAGAAACAGAGCAGAAGTAACTGATCCCTATTTTCATGGAAAATTAAATGTACAATTAAATGTGCTTGGCGAGTAGCTGTTCATTGGGGGTGTTACGTCGAGCTGTGGCCTTGTGCCAGTCAAACCCTCCCACCCACAGGGCAGATCTCCTTCCCTCACTCCATTCCATCCAGCCTGCTTCCCTCTGGCAGGGTCAGGGTCAGCAGTGCGAGTGCAGCTGAGCTGCACCAGCACCAGGACAACATGCATTGCATCTTGCATTTCTCAGGATTCTCTGGCTTTTATTCAATCTGTTTTGTAATTTAAGTTTGTTATTACCCTCGTTTTCCCCTGGTATCCTGTTCACTAGCATGGCACATTTTTCTTCTTTCTCCCTCATTTTTTCTGCTACTTATAAAAGATTTATTTTCTGTTAAAATACTTGCTAGATCCATTACCTATGAGAACTGCATTTTTCTTAAGTATGAATGTGTAATTTTGTATAGCAGCTGTAATTGTGCTACTGATTTTTGTTTTGGATTGGAGTGGAGGGTTGCCTGCTTGGGCTTCTTTGCTCCATTTATTTTAAAAATACACATTTTGCATATCACTGCAGGGATATATATAAGCAACTCATCCTGACGGGAGAAGATTTTAAGTTAGAGGCAATGAGTTACTGAGAGATGCCACTAGGACAAAATCTGAGTGGAGGGCAGAATGTTCAGAGTTTAGTCTGAGAAGTGTTGTCTGGGCTATTGACCACCCCGTGTGCCTCAGCTGCCCCTCTTCTGTGGGCTCCTCCTTCCCACACTATACCAAATTTATACCCAGAGAGGTCATGGCTACCCCATCCCTGGAAGTGTCCAAGGCCAGGCTGGACAGGGCTTGGAGCAACCTGGGATAGTGGAAGATGTCCCTGCCCATGAGAGGGTGGAACCGGATGAGCTTTAAAGTCCCTTCCAACCCAAACCATTTCATGATTCCTTGATTCTGAACTATTTCCCCATCACGTTTCTGGCCAGCCAGCCTCTCCCAGCGTTCCCATCTCACATCACAGGACAGCAGCTGAAATCCTGTGCACTGGGTGAGGTGTTTGGGTGTGGGGAGGGAAGGGAACGCCCCAGGAATCCCTAGGCAGGACTTCACCCTCAGGCATCTTCAGACACGCGTGTGGATTTTAGCACTTACTCTTCCACGGGTTCAAATGATAAACTAACTCTTTAATCTTATTTTTTGAAGGCAAAATCTCCAAAGAGGATGGCAGTGGATGAGCTGGGTCAGGCAGAGAGCGCTGCGGGTTTGGACGCGCCGCCAGCCAAAAAACTGAAAGCGCCTTGGAAATGCGCGAAGTGCGGCTTCGCGACGGACGTCCGGACTGAGTTCCAGGAACACATCCCTCGGCACAAGACAGACAGCTCCACCTTCCAGTGCTTGTTCTGCGGCCTCTGCTACACCTCCCACATCTCTCTGAACAGACACCTCTTCATCGTTCATAAAGTCAAAGATGAGGAGGAGGAGGAGGATGAGGAGGAGGAGGAGGAAGATGAAAGGCAGGAGTTACAAATAGAGATGGGTAAGAACGGACACGAGGACTACAATGGCGAGTTGAACACTACGGTGGAAGAGGAAAACAAATACAAAGAGTGCAAAAGGGACTCAGCTCTTTGTGAGCACAGTCAGACGTGTGGAGCAGAAGGCCCCAACAGCACCTCACAGAACAATCATTCAAAGTCTCTTAAGACTTAAAAGCAAAAAAAAAAAGCCCTTTTGGTTGATTGGGGGTTTTTTGTTGGGGGGTTTCTACTCAAAATACAGGGTGGGGACGGGGCAAATCTTTGAAATACTCTGTTGATTTCTTGGGATGGACGTTGCAACTCCTATTTGTAAGGGAAATTTAAAACAGAAAAAAACAAAACCAACCCTGCCATTGCATCCTAAGCACTAACTCTCTGCCAGCCCAGAGAGGTGAAAAGGGAAAGCAGGGCCAGAGCCCTCAGTGGGATTTGGCCAGCTCCTGAGGATCCAGGAGCACTTTGCAGCTGCAGTTTCCTTCAGATGAGCTCTCCTCCTTTGAGTGTGCACCACCTCTGCCCAGAGCCCCAGCCTCGCCTTCCCAATCTCCCTTTATTTCTCCTTCTATTTATGGCTTCTTTTCTCTCTCCCCATCCTGCCTTTGTGTTACTCATTTTAACTCATAAATAACTCAGCCAAACGCGCTTGTCAGGACCGTGTGGGCCGATCTGGGATCTGCGTTACACGGCACGGGTTCGAGCTGTAAGTTGTGCTGGTTATTCTTCAGTTATGCCCAAATAACAACATTCTTTTCCAAAACACAGTTTAATGAAATGTCTTGGACCCGAATCATCCTTGAAAGAGGATTTTGTAGCCCCAGTGCTCCCCGGTGAGTACGGTGTTGAGGAGGGCCGTGTTGGCCGTGTGTCTGTGGAGCTGTGCTGCAGGAAGCCATCCTGGGCTGGCACTGCCAGGAGCTGTGCTGCAGGAAGCCATCCTGGGCTGGCATTGCCAGGTCTCATCCCAGTGGGGAGCTCAGACTGGCACCATCGCCAGGAGGGGATAGATCCCCCATCAGTGGGGTCAGCTGGAGTGAAGCTGTTCCAGAGCTCCTGGTGTATCAGTGCCAGGGCTCCCTGACAGCTCATTTTGAGGGGAGAGGAGCAGAGCTCAGCTCACAGAGGTGCTGGAACAGCAGGAGCACGGCAGGGGCTCCATAACTCCTCTCCTGCTGCGGCTCAGCACTACCCATCCTTCAGGAGATGTTTCTTTCCATGTAGTCACATTGACTCTTTCCTCCCTCATTCCGTGTCACACCCATGCTTTGTGTAATACAATTACCTTCTATACCATTATTTTTTTTTTCATTCTGTTGAGCCAGAACTCCGCTTGTTATTGTTTACTCTGACAATGTTTAAATAATTTAAGAACTATTTATCTCCTTGCTTGGGCTCATCACCATGTGGTCTCGCCGTGCTTGGGTACAGCTGGAGCTGTCTGGGTGTTGGAGGGTGTGCGGGTCGGATGTTGCACCTGCCCTGTGCAGGGATATTGCCCCTGCCCTGTGCAGGGATATTGCACCTGCCCTGTGCAGGGATATTGCCCCTGCCCAGTGATTGAGACGAGGTGGTGAGGTCACATCCCCTCTGCAGTGACTGATCTGCTGTTCTGACCTGCATCTGCTGTGCTCTGTGAAGATAAAACTCACAGTACTTAAAGCTCATTGTTCTGCTTTGCATTATTTATGTGGAATTAGGAAGGATAAGTAGTTGGGAACAATTGCCATTTACAAGACAGAAGAAAAATAACTTGAGTCGTGGTGTCTGAAATGAGATAATTAAACAAAGCAATGAATCACAGTAAGAAATTTTTGTCAAGTCCCTTTGTCTGTTTCAGATGGGAATGCTTTCAGTGCTTTGTTTCTCAGGATAATCTGTCTATCTCTAAAAAATAAATTAAATCTAAAAAAAGCTTCCCATCCTTACAGAGCTGCCAGCATTGCCCTGCCAGTGGTGAGCTCAGAAATCAAAAGATGGTGTTCATCATCAGCTTTTTGCCTATTAAAAAAGCTTTTCCCTTTGGATGTGCTTGTAACACCAGGTACTGGCAGTGCTCTTTCCCCAGCAAATCCAAGCTGCTGGCAGTGTGATGATTGAAAACCTGATTGCAGTAGAGGTTACACAGTTGCCCAGTCTCCAGGGTGGTTTTCTCAGAAGCTCTTCCAGGTTTCAGCCTGGTCTGGAGCACTTCCAGGAATGGGGTATCCACAGCTTCTCTTTCTCATGAGGTTCTTGGGAGATGTTTCTTGAAGAGCCATGAACTCCAGAGCCTGGTGCTGAGTGTTTAAATGTTGTTCAGTTGTTCCTCTCCTCTTTTTCAGTGGGAGTATGGAGCCTGCTTTCCACAGAGGAGATCTCCTGTTCCTCACCAACCGAATTGAAGATCCAATCAGAGTGGGAGAAATAGTTGTCTTCAGGATAGAAGGAAGGGAAATTCCTATAGTCCATCGTGTTCTGAAAATCCATGAGAAGTATGTTAAGAGTCTGGGGGTTCTGCTGCTGATGTTTCCCTAACTGCTCTTCACCTGCTTGGGTAAACAAGGGGGGGGATGTCAGTCATGGAAATCCAGGTGCTGTAGGAAGTAACACAGGAGTTTCAGACAGAAAAAAAATCTGTCCTGCTTTGTTTACTTGTAAAGATCACCTAGCAGAAGGCACAAGCTGAGAGCCTGTGTCAGTGCCCTGGACACTCCAAACTGTAGAATCATGGAATTGTTAGGGTTGGAAGGGACCTTGAAGCCAGTCTCATTCCATCCTGTGCCATGGGCAGGGACACCTTCCACTGTCCCAGGGTGCCCCAAGCCCTGTCCAGCCTGGCCCTGGACACTTCCAGGGATCCAGGGCAGCCACAGCTGCTCTGGGCACCCTGTGCCAGGGCCTGCCCACCCTCACAGGGAGGAATTTAATCCTTACATCCCATCTAGCCCTGGCAGTGGGAAGCCATTGCCCCTGTTACTTTAGGGCTCTTGTTTGCAGTCCCTGTCCCTCTCTCTTGGAGCCCCTTTAGGCACTGGAAGTGACACCACTGCCTGTCTCCTGTGCCATCCTCTGTGTCCCGAGCTGCTGTGCTGTCTGCTGCAGCATGGCTGTGTTTGTGTGTGAAGTGAGTCTTGTTTGTGGGGCACAACTGTGGCAGAAGGTTTCGTGTGTTATTTTAGAGCTTGTCTCTGTGTCCTGGTCTTTGCTGTCCTGCACACTCAGGGCCTTTTGTCTCTAGAAGGTTGTGGTGCTGTCCTCAGAGTCTTTGTGTCCCAAAGCTGTTCACTCTCAGCTCTGGGGAGGTTGTGTGTCTGAAGGGATGGAACAGGCATTGCTTTCATGGCTGATCAAGGCTTAGTTTTCCAGCCAAGGCTTCCACTGCAGTCCTGAGCTTTCCTGTTTTGCTGGATGGAACTGTGGCCTCTCCAGGCCAGTCTGTGGGGACACAAGCCAGCTCTGTGAGTTGTTTGAGTGAAAACTGAATCTAGAACTGAATCCCTGATTCTTTATGACATCTCTGGGAGGCAGCAGCTGGTTGGGGTCCCAGCATCTGTTTCTGCTGAGTGAATGTTTTCTGAGTGGTGTGAGCTGGAGCTGAGCCAGGTGGCATCTGAGATTCCTCTGGCTGAGACATGGATGGGATGGAGAGGGTCCCTTTCCCAAAGCTGTTGGAATAGCCATACAATTTTCTGCTCCAACTGAAGGATGACAGCCTTGTGCATGTAAATACACAGGTGGAATCCTAGCTCTGAGGCAATGAAACAATGCCTCTTCCAGCAGGCAAAGCACCTTCTTTGCTGTTCAGATTTATTCTGTACCCAGAACTTTGAACAGTGTCAGTTTGCAAAGTGCTGGTCTTTGATACCACTGATTTAAAAATAACTTCAGTTTATGGGCTGAATTTGACATCTGATGTTGCACAAGCATTTTTTATGATGTTGTGGGAACTCTTTCAAGTGAAATGCAGTTTTCCTCCTCCCCTGTTCTGTGCAGCATTTTCTCTCCTGATGTTGCCCACCCTTCTTTTTTTGCCTGGCTCTACCTCTAGATATTAGGGTATCAAGCACTATTTTTTGTTTAAATGTTTTGGTTTTGTTAAATGTTTAAATGGGGCCATAGTGCCAATCCTGGGAGGGTGAAACCATTCTGCAGAATTTTAGGTTTCATTTAACTGAAACAACCAAACACAAACCTAATCTTTTATTAGGAGAGATAAACTGAAAAATCCATATTGCAACCTGAACCTGGGAGCTGAAGGCAGGATTTGGGTGTCAGTTGCTTCTTCCACTACTTAAAGAATAATTTTCTAGTGCCAGTTTGGAAGTGAAAAGTCTCTGCAGAAGCTGACAGGAGTGTCAAAATGCAGGAAGACAGAAACAGCATTCTCTGTGATTTTGGGGCAACTCGCCCCAGTTCACATCAATATTGTGTCAGTGAAAAAATGTCTGTTACTTGCTGGCCTTTTCTTCTTGTTTCAGCCCAAAATTGAATCCATTCTTTATTACTAACACAGAGTCTGCATTCCAAATTTACTTAGTGGTTTTGGAGCAGGGTCACTCACCTCAGACAGCAGAGAAGTGCACCAAGGGCTTCTCATGCTGCGTCGTGGCAGAGCCTTGACTCTGCTCAATAAGGTGCTGCACTCCTGCACCATCACTCTTCACAGCTAAACTACATTACCTGCACCTCTGGGGATCTTTATTTTTTCCCAGACAGTGTTTGTTGTTCCCACACAACAAGCCAGATGTGCTTTGGGGAAAGAGCTGTGGGTTTTTTCCCTTTTTTCTTTCCAAACTTCCCCTGTCAAGGAGCCTGTTGGTGTTCAGGCATGATGAAAACAGCCTGAGCTCCAAAGAACTGCCTGCTTTCCTGCCTGCTTTCCATCTGTCATTTCAGTGAGAGCTGAGATTCAAGCACTGAGGATGCTCCTGCTCAGCACCTGCCTGCAGGTGCCACAGGAAGGTGACAGTGGCAAATCCCTGAGTAGTGCCATGGGCTGCTCTCCAGCATCTGAGTGGGAGTGGCTGGGAAAGAATCTATACACCTTTTTCCTGGTCGAAGCAAAGATTCATCTGCTCCTCAATCCTGGTTCTGGCAAGCTAATTAATCTCAGGATTAATTAAAGACTAGAGAGAGCATGTAGTGATAATTTCCCTGCTTTACTGCAGGTTACAGTTTCAAGCACAAAGTCCTTGTTCTTTATGAACAGCCTAATTTCCTATTTTACGTGGAGTATCAGGTCAATTTTTCAGCCAATATAATTTTTTGCCAACCAAAATACCTCTGCAGAGAGACATGGTTTAGTTTGCACTGTGGCTATTTCTGCATAGCACCTTCTCTGCCTGGTTTTAACCCATTACTTCTGAGCTCCTTTTGGTACCTTATGGCTCTTGCATAGGAAGAAACAGTGAAAAGCTGTTGGATTTTTGCTGTCATTTGTGGTGGACTGTGTCAAATCTCCCATCAGTTCTGTCTTTTCCAGGCTGGAGAGTCCTGGTCTGTAGTTCTTGTATGGAAGTGGTTCCAGACCTTGTTAAGCATTTCTCAACCTTTGCCAGTTCTTCTCTCCATTGCAGAAAAGGATCAGGGGGCTCAGCACTGCCCAGAGCATTCCAGATGTAGGCACATTGTGAGTTCATGCAGCATCATTTTGGTATTATTTGGGTTTTTTCCTGTCCCCCTTTCCTAATCAGTTCTAATTTTCAGCTTGCTTTTGCCCAGTGCTGAGTAGAGCTCTGTGCTTCAATCCCAGCCTCTCCTTTTGTGTGGTAGTAGGGAGACCAGAATCCAACATTTGTGTGAAGCAAGAGAATCATCAACACAAGATGGGTCAAAAGCCAAGAGGCAATAGCTGCACCTGCTCTAGAAACTGTTCTGAAACTCTGCTGGAGATCTTTGCTGGGGCCAGAATTCATTCTTCCCATGGCAGTTTTTTCCCAAACCATCTGCTTTCTGCTGCATGTGACAGTTTCCTTCTTTTATCCTCCTTGAATTGTAGGACATGGGTGCTTCTAGTGCCCTTGTGTTGGTCTCTCCATGCTTATTGTAGAAGAACTTTTAACAACTTTCTGTCCTGCCTTACCTGGCTGTCTTGTCTTTACCAGGCAAAACGGAGACATCAAATTTCTGACCAAGGGAGACAACAATGCTGTGGATGACAGAGGGCTCTACAAGCAGGGGCAGCACTGGCTGGAGAAGAAGGATGTAGTAGGACGAGCAAGAGGGTGAGTGAGTTTAAAATGGTGGGGTTTTTCACACTGCTGTCCCCAAAAGCCATCTGGTAACTCCCCCCTTGGGCTGGCTGTCCCTGCTGGGTTTGTAACCTGCCTGAGAGTGTGGAGAGTTCAGTTCTTAGTTTGGCTTAAGCAGAGGCATCCAGCTGTGAGCTGTGTCCTGAGATGTTGGTGCTGGATGGACACAGAAGTAAGGGTAGCGTGGGCTCAGGCTTGATCAGAATTGTCATCAGGTTTGTCCTGGGAGGCTCAGTGTCTGCAGGCAAGTGACATCTGAACCAGGCATAGGCTGAAGCACCCTCTGGGCTGGTTGTCACTCAGGCCCACTGCCACAGGGAGGAAGAAGTCACCAGCCCATTGGCTGCAGCCCTTGGGATGCTTGAATGACTCTCTCTGCACCCTGGAATAGTGTTTCTTTTAACAAAACCTTTATTCTTATAGATTTGTGCCCTACATTGGAATAGTGACTATCTTAATGAACGATTATCCAAAATTTAAGGTAAGAGCTCTTCTGCTGCACCTTGGAATAGTGTTTCTTTTAACAAAACCTTTATTCTTATAGATTTGTGCCCTACATTGGAATAGTGACTATCTTAATGAACGATTATCCAAAATTTAAGGTAAGGTAAAATTTATTTCCTGCCTGCTTTTCCCACCCCAGTTATAATTCCTTCATGAGAACACAGGCAGAACCCTGTGCCCTGCATGTTTGCTGCTGTAGATGTCAGTGTGCACTCCTGTGTCTCCTCTGCTCTCTCTTCCAGTATGCAGTCCTCTTTTTACTGGGTTTATTTGTGCTGGTCCATCGAGAGTAGTCCCTTGCACTGAACTACGAGATGAAGGTGCCATGGAATTTTTTAGATGAACCTTTAAAGTAGCTGATGGTCCAGTGTACCAGGAGAAAGAAGAAAGCATGCATTTCAAAGCTTCGTGCCAGTTTGGGTTTGTTTTGGTTTTTACTGCGTAAGGGCGAATGTTTGTCACAGTATTTCCAATGGTTTGTCACATTTTAGCCTTTTTAGTGAATTTTTATATTAAAAATTTGAGCCAAAGTGTTTAGTGCTTGTACTTTGAAGCTGAGCTTCCTCTCCAAGTGCCTCTGGGACCGTGTCCTCAGTCTGTGCCTGGCCGGGCCAGGTGCCCCCTGCCTTGTGCTCACTGAACTGTCCACTGGTGAGTTGTGGCCGTGACAGTTCTTTTCCACTTCAGAACTGGAATAAAGATTTTGCCTCTTGCCACGTTTTTTTGTTATTGCCCTGATGAGAGCAGCCTCCTTGCCCAGGTTCTGGGGGATACCTGGGCTTTGCTGTTACACACTCCCAGAGCCACCATCTAACTTGTTCTCTCTCCAGAGAGCAGTAGCAGCTGCTCCTCTCACCTGTTTTGGGGGAATTATCTCTCCTGAGCTGTAGATCATTCAATATTTCTGTGTTTCTTTAAATCACACTGGAATAATCTGCCAAAACACTGCAAAGTGGGGAAGAAGATGGCAAAGGATTACTTTGTGCATTGTGGCACTAGGTAACAGAAGGATTGAGATGGGAAATACCCACAGCTCTTAATGATTTAGCAGGATGCAATAATAAAAATTTCTTGGTTTTGCAAAAGGCTTTCAAGTGTCCTGTGAGCTGGCCAAATCTCACAGCTCACCTGAAAGCTACAGACTGCCCTGGGGTCTGAAATAAAAAACCCACTTGTCACCACTGTTTTTTTCTGAGCTTCTCATTCAGGCTTGTGATCCTGCTGGTGGAGGTGTTGTCAGAAAGAGCCCAGGGAGGAGGTGCAGGGCAGTGATGCTGCAGTTTATCAGCTCTTCTCCGTGACTGCTCCAAGATTCCAGAGCAACAGGAGTCATTGCAGGTGGTCACTGCAGCCACACACACAGCTTGTATAAAGCAAAAGCAGTCAGGAAAACAAGGACAAAACCCAACAGGGTGTTTATGGCTGTTTGCAGTTTGTTGCAGTCTCTCATTGGGTTTGTCAGGCCTCTCCCATCTCTGGAGGTGAATTGTACCATTTTGCTGGTTTTGATGTTACCAGGTGCTTTGTTCCCTATGTAGGATAAAGCAAACATCACCTGTAGGGCACTGCAAAGAGTCTACAAACAGGTCCAACCCCCAGCACTGAGCCTTCAGCCTGCAGCTCTGAGTAATCAAAACTTCATAATAAAAATGGCAATAAAATCTGTATCTCTTGCCCCCAGTGTTAGAGCCCTTGGGAGGAAAATGTGGATAAAGCTTCTCTTTAATTCTTGAGTTAAGGATGGGATGTTCTGTCAAAAGGCAAACCCAGGCAGCAGTGAGAGAGCAGAGAATCTCTGAGAGCTGCTCTCACTATAGAGCACCTTCCTGAGGCATTTCTGCCTTTGCAGCTCACATGGAGCCTGAGTCTGTCCCTGCTTTGCCTTGAGCCTCAACAGCTTTTGTGCATAAATGAGTTTTACACACAAAGGGCTGAGTTGAGCTTGTCTGGAAGCTGCTAACCAACACCTCCCCAAAAACACTTGCTGGGGGTGCTGCTGCTGCTGCTCTCCACGTCCTCTCCCTTTCAGACCTCCAAAATTCTGAGCGTGTGAAAGCAGTTGTGTTCCTGTCACTGAGTTAATTTAACCCAAAAAAAGAGGCTGAAACACAAAGGATTATGGAGAGAGGTTTAGCTCTCAAAGTGCTAAGCCTGCAGTTCTTCAGGAGGCTGATGTGGCCTGAGGGTGGCAGCTGCTGTCAGGAGTCCCTGGGCAGGGGGACACAGGGCACAGGGAGCTCTTGCAGGAGGGTGTGCTCTGCTCTCACCTGGTGCTGTCTGAAGGAATTGCATAAGAAGGGCTTTAAAAATGCAGGGTGGGTGGGGTGAGGGGTGACAGGAGCCCCTGCTGCAGCCCAGCTTCAGGGGCTTCTCTCCAGGGTCTGCAGGCACTTGAAGAACAGGAACAATTGCCCTAAACCAGGGGCTGCCATGTGGCACTTGGGAATTCATCTCTGCAGGCCCTGTTCTGCCTGTTTTCAGCTCTGTGCAGCTGGGAATGTGGTTCTGTTTCCTGCAGTTGTGAAATGGGGACTTGACTCCAATTAGGCAAAGAATAATTTGGCAGTCAACCCCATCACAGCTCTGGCACCCACCACCTCCTGTGCCACCTCCCATGCCAGCTCCCACATCGCCTCCTGCCTTCCAGCAGCACCTTTCCTGCCACAGTGGGATGAGGGAGTGCTGGGGATGAGCCTGCACAGGCTGGAAACTGGGGATATGGGGGCAGGGTGACACAGAGCTGTTGCTGGCTCCATCCCCACCAGATTTATTCTGCTTTGCTGAGCAGAAAAGCCACGGAGTGAGCAGGATGGCTGGCTGGCTGGGTGCTGATGCTGAGGTGTTTGGGAGCACTGCTGAGCTCCCACAGAGCCAGAGTGGTTGGTGATAGAACTTGATGTGTATATGTTTTATGTCAGTTTTATGGTACTTTTTTTTTGAAGGTGAAACTGTCTGGGCAGCTCCAGCAAAGCCAGTGACACTGGAGGCTCTGGAAATGGATGGAGAGCTTCATGTCACCACAGGAATGGGATTTGCTTGTAAAGTACGTGGGTGTTGAAAGGTCTGGTTTATAAAAGAGAAAAAAATGAAGGAAAAAGTCTGCCAGGGCTCATTGCTCCTGTGTCTGTTGTGGTTGGTTACAGCCAAACAGGGCAGGTTTTCTGTGAGCAATTCCAGTGCTTAATTACAGTTCAGTCACATCCGCAGTTCAGGCACAGATTCCTTCACGGGCAGGAGCTGTTCCATGGAGCAAAGCCATGCTGGGCTGTGTCTGAGGGCTGCTGGAATTCTAGTGGGTGACATTTTTTTTTTGTATCAAAGCTAAATGCATAAGCAAGAGCGTGATGGTTGGGAAGTGAGCTGTGAGGGGTGATGTGCTGCAAGCTGGAGCTCTGTGAGACAGAGGCTGTTCTGTGTTTTTATGATCCTTTAGTGCACGGTTGTTGGTTGAACAGCAGTGAGCATCACGGTGCTTCATCCAGATCTGCTGCTGCTTATTGCTTTGCAGGGGTTCACAGGGCTCAGGTTTTGTCAGATGGTCAGTTCCCCACTGTCTTTAATGAGAATGGGTAATTTCATGGTGATTTTCCTGCCCTTAAAATCAGAACAGATCAACTGTGGTTTTTTCCAAGGAGCATTTTCATGATGAAACCTGGTCCATGCTTGAGGACCACTCTTTGCTGGAGAAATGCACAAAACAAGGTGTGCATCTCCCAAGACAGCCCAAAAGCTGGCTAGGAGAAGAAGAGACAACTGAGAAGGAAGAGAAGGGTGCTTAGAGCACATGCCTTGGGGATGGCTCCTGTGCCAGAGCAAGGGCAGTGCGAAGCAGCTGCTTGTGTGACCCCACAGTGCCAGTGACTCAGTGGCTGAATCAGATGAGGAATGTCCTGGTTCCATCCCCCAGGAAGGTGCACTGGGGTGATGCCAGAAGGGCCCAGCCTGTGCCATTCCCACAGTGTCAGCAGCTCAGGGTGGGAGTTGATGTGTGGTGGGTGACTGACCTGACTCTCTCATCTCTGGGAGAAGAGAAACAGCACCCACACCGTGCTTTCAGCCAGCTGAACAGCCTCCTGCCCCTTTTAGCTCTCCCCAGCCTTGTAACACTTTGTTCTCTTTGTCATCTGCACCCAGATTCTCACCTGTCAGGAACCACAGGTCTCTGCCAGAGTAGATCCACCAGCCCAAGAATGTTGGATTCATATGGGACACAGGGGCTTTCCTGAGAAATCTGCCTTGGTGGCTCTATTTTGCCCTAATTGGGTGGCTTTGCTGTGGGTTCCTAGTCTGCCCAGCTCTGAGAGTCCTTCTTCACATTTGTTTATCCCTCAGTTTCTGTGAAAACCCACCAGCTCCATCACACACAGTCCTGCTTCCCCTTGGGGCAGGACCTGCCTCTGTGTGCTGGCCTGCTGCTTGAGCACATTGTGTGTCAAACCTACTCCAGCTCATGGGGAAATCCATACACTTGTTCAGTTCCAGCAGTCCTGTGAATGCCTGATCCAGCAGGGTTCCCTAAACCTCAGGGGAAATGAACATCTTCACAGAGAGCAGTCTAAATAGGGATGGACTAGAAATTCAACCTTTGTGATCCAGGATGGAGCAGATGCTCTCAGTTCTTGCTCCTTCTGTCCAGCTCCTCACCTTTTGACTATTTGTGCTCCTTCTGTTTAACAATTGAAAAACCCTTCCCAAATCTCTCTCTGCTCAATATCTTGGTGTCACCTTTGTTTTCCAACCTCCCCTTTCCCCATAGAAACAGTCCTGAAGGAAAAATGATGTGGAGGAAATGAACTTCTCTGAGCCTTGATTCACTCAAACTGGCATGTCAGATTTCTGCTGTATAATTCTGGCTGGGACACTTCTGAGCTGGGCCTGGGTTTGCCTGGAAGAAAACACTATTTTCTTCTCTAAGTCTTCTTGCAGAGCAGTTATTTGTATTTGTCCAGCAGTGTGGAGTGAAAGGGAGACCTCGGGGAAAACCACAGCTCATTTACAGCTTAAATGAAAATTGAAAATGAGTTGAAAACAAGATGCGCAAGATTTCAAATTTTATCTTTTATAAACAACAGCTATTGCCTGTGGACGAATGGATGTAACAGAGGGATTTAATCTTTGTAAACAAGAGAAAAATGCATCAAAATAGACCCTCAGGCACGAGGCAGGACCTGGCTTTGGAAAATGGTGAAGAAAAGGTTGAAGCAACCTAACTGCTACTAAGAGTTTTATTGGCACAGGAGCTCTGTGAAGGAGACAAATAGGGACGTTCGAGGCCTTTGCTCTTTGTATTTGTTTTTTATTAGAGCCATCAGTTTGAGCACATTATTTGCCTGCCCAGGTGGATATTTGCAGGGCCTGGGAAGCCTCAATTCCACAGTATGGAGTGTCTCCCTTGCCAGCCTGGCCACCTCTCTCAGGGTAGAGTCAGTGCCAAAGGAACTAAAACATGGACTCTCAAAATTATTTGGGCTGGAAGGGACCCTAAAGCCCAGGCAGTCCCACCTCCTGCTGTGGGCAGGGACACCTTCCACTATCCCAGGTTGGTCCAAGCCATGTCCAACCTGGTTTTGGACGTTTCCTGGGATGGGGCAGCTGCAGCTGCTCTGGGCAACCTGTGCCAAGGCCTCACTACCCTCACAGGGAAGAGTATCTTCCCAATATCCTGTCTAACCCTGCCCTCGGGCTGTGGGAAGCCATTTCCCCTTGTCTTGTCACTCCAGGCCCTTGTCCCAGTCCCTCTCCAGCTCTCCTGGAGCCCCTTCAGGCCCTGGCAGGGCTCTGAGCTCTCCTTGGACCCTTCTCTTCTCCAGGTGAGCACCCCCAGCTCTCCCAGCCTGGCTCCAGAGCAGAGGGGCTCCAGCCCTCAGAGCATCTCCATGGTCTCCTCTGGACTTGCTCCAACTGGTCCATGTCTTTCTTGTGCTGAGGACTCCAGACCTGGATGCAAAACAGAGAAAAAACAAAATGGCCCTTGCTTTAAAGCCCTTGAACCAGGGTATTTTCAGGTTGGTCTGTTACATTTGTTAGTGAGGCCCTTTTGGCTGTGCAGTTTTTACAGCCATTTATTTTGCCTAGTTATGGTTTCCTTTCTTTTCCTGGTGAAATCCTGCTTTAGCTTTAGGTGCATTTAGAGGATTTGCTCCCAGTGCCTGTTTCACAGGTCTGTTATTGCTCATCTTATCCCTACTTGGACAGGAGTTTGCTAAGGAACAGAACACCCTAAGAGAGTAGACTTGGAACTTGTGGAAGGAATTTGGAGGCTTATGGGCAAGAGGAACCCACAGGGATCATCCACCTGTATTTCCCAAATGTATTTGGCAAGGTCCCTCAGCAAAGGCTCCTGAAGGAAGGAAGCAGCCCTGGAACAGGTGGTGAGATCCTTACAGGGGATATTGTTTGCCAAAAGGTAAAGAACAAAAGGGAGAAGGGAAGAGGGAAGAGACTGGGTAATAAAGGAGATGAAGTTTAAATGTACATAAATATAAAATGGTGCACAGGGAGAAAAACCAATTTTAACTCTATTTATGAAACAACGGGTTCCAAGTTAAATGTTGCTATCTGAAACATCGGGGTTGTTACAGATTGTGCTGTGAAAATGTCAATTCTGTGGTCAGCGGCCATCCAGAGCAAACTGTGTGTGTCAATTGCTGGGGAAAACAGAACAAAACAACCCCTGCTCCCTCTGGCTGCAGGCATCTGGGGATGCTGAGGATTCCTGGAGCTTTGAGGTGGTTTGGGTGGAAATGGACATTCCTGGAGGGTGTGGGGCTGTGCAGGGCTGCTCTCACCCAGCCCCGGAGGGTAAATCCTCCAGAGAGGGGAGGGGAGCTCTGTGCAGACCCTCCTCTGCCTCGAGGATATAACCATTGGCAGCTGCCATTTTCCAGAGTCACCTCTGGGGCTGCCAACAGCCCCATCTCCTGCATCACCTGGGAAAGTCGGTGTGCTGACCTCTGCCAGCAAAACTGATCTGTAAAGTAGAATTTCTACAGCTTTTTAAATAGATAAGGTGGGAAGATTCCCTTGGAGGATGGTAGCTAGGACATGAATCTCTGCTGAGCTGGAGAGAGCAAGTGGCAGAGAAGCACTGCAGTGTCAGTTCCTGCCTGGAATGCTGGAAGTCCCAGCAGGCTCCAGACTGGGTGTATTGCTCTGACCCACCAAAGTGGGACAAAGAGAGACAGAAGTGCTGAACCCTTTTACCACCTGTTTTCCAGTAAAGCCCCACTGGCTGCCCTGAACTGTGCTCCCACTTGCAGCCTCCAACACGTCTCTGAGGAGCTGTTCTGGTGCTCTTTCCAGACTTGAAATCAGGTTATGAGCTCATATCTCCCACACACACATCATGAGGTCAAGCCTTGGTACTCAGGAATTAATCTGACATCCCCTCAGGTTTTGAGGGTTTACAGTGGCACTGCAAAAGGGCACGAGCTCCCTGATTTCCTTTTCCCAGCCTTTCCCAAGCTTCCTTAGCAGTGCCACTGGGATGGAAAATACCTGTTCCTCTGCTCCCACCCTGGCTGAGACAACACCAGCTGAAAAAGAAGGAACATCTGGGTACCTTTCATTGTGCATCTAATTAGAGCAGTGCACAAGCCTTCATCCTGTTTGAAACCCTGCAGCTTCCCACTGCTCATCCCTTGTCCCTGGGGCTGCCTGTAGGAGCACTGAAGGAGTGGGACTTAACCCTGCCACGCTTCAGTTGGTGCCATAATTGCCCAGGGCTCTTTCATCTGCCCTCTGTAATTGGGATCACTTTATCCCTGCCTTCATCCTCCCTAATCCTACAGGTAACCCTTCAGCTTGCTGTTCTCCACAGTGGAGGATTGCTGCTCAGCTTTCCCAAAAACACCCCTTCCCCAGGGTAAGGAGGAGCCAGACTCAGCTGTGCCAGTGCTGGGCAGCACCAGGATCTTCCTTCACATTCAGCTCCTTCTCTGGACCTCCCATCCTCCTCCTCCTCCTGCCCTTCCTACAGCCCCCACCTTCTCCATGAGTGAACGTAAAACTTTGGAAGAAAAGGCTCGGGATAACATCCATCCATTTCAAGCTGTGTTTTGTCAGTGCAATGGCAGGGCAGGACACTGGGGGAGGGACACAGGCTGAGAGAGGAAATGGAGGAGGGACAGGGGTGTTTCTGTCTGTCCAGGTGCAGCACTGGGAGGGGACAGCAGAGCCCAAGCAGTTGTCCCAGCCACCAGCACCACTGGGACCAGGGACCTCAGGTCTCCTGTCTCTGCTGCCTCAGCGGGGACACGAGGCTGCTGTGATGTGGATGTGAGAGCTGGGTGCTGCGAGTGCCACATCTGGGGGGAGCACTGCACTCATGGCCCCCTGGGGTCACCTCCTCGAGTGGGCTGAGCTCTGCCTGCTCAGCCCTTCTGCTGAACACAGGGAAGGAGCACGGTGAGAGAGCGGAGTGAAATCCCCCTCTGGAGTCCAGGAGCTCCAGCACACCTGGGCAAGGCTGGCAGAGGTGTCACACCTGAGAGGGCCATGTCCATCGCTGTGGCACATCTCTGAAACAGTGAGGGAGCCCATGCTGATCTGACCACCCAAGGGGACACTCACACACCTTGGGAGGATGTCTGGTAACACAGGAGCACTTTGGGTTTTTTCTTTCTTCCTTTCCTGTAAGCCTAGAGCTGAGTTTGCAGTTGGAACTCTGATCCCCTGCTGCTGAAGGGGAATGTGTCACCTCCAGCCCTGCTCTCCTGAACAGCAGCACGTGCTGGAATGGCACTGTGAATGAATTCCCTCTGCCATTTCCCAGGAGAACTGGGTCATCTCATCCCCACCCACCAGCACCTCCTTGCAAAGTTACGGAACTGTAAATCCACAGAAGCTGTCAGGGCCTTTAGAACACTGATGGGCCGCACCTGGTATGGACTTCTCTCTATCCACACGGACCCAGGAACCACCTGAACCCTGCAGTCTGTCATTGATCCGTGCTGTGGGAGCTCAGCAGTGCCTGACTGACTGGCTTAACCTGGCCCCAGGCCCTCCTCCTCACCATGGACCTGCCAGGATTGTCTGACCCTGGGTACCCCCACCAGACTCACCCCAGCCTACAGTGGCCCAGACCCTGAGAGTATCCCTGTGTAGATATGGAACCTGGAGGAATCCCTGTTGGCTGCAGGCAAGGACAAGAAGAAACAGAGCACAACCTGTGCCTTGGAGCCCTCTGATCAAATGCTTCCAGTTTCACCTGGAATTCACTTCATTTGAGCCCTGGGCACACAGTCCATGCCCCAGGTCCCACTGTCTGTGTCCCTGGCATGGCTGGGCACAGCTCCATCCCTTTAATGGAAAAGAGGGAGCTCATGGGGAACATGATTGTCCATGGAAGGTTTGGGTGCAGTAATCAGGAAATAGCGGTCTGCGAAATCTCAGAGGGAGTGGGAAAGGTGAGAAGTGGTACACAGGCTCTGGCTCATGCCCTGCAGTGTGTGGGATCCTCTGGGAGGCTGCTCTGGGAAGTGAAGGAGCTGGGCAGAGCTGGCAGTTCCGGGAGGACAGGATTCCCATTACCCATCCCGATAATCAGGTTTGCAGGCATATGAACTGGGAGATGGCTTTGAGCTAAACTGGGAACGAACTCCTGGCTGAGCTCCAGTGCAAAAAGTGAGCGTGGAGAAGGTGGAAGCACGGACATGGAGAGATCTGGGCACGGGGATCGGACTCAGCGGTGAGTCCGTCACTGGCCACCTCAGCGCTGCCTCTGCCACGTCTCCCGCTCCGCCGGGGCGCTGGGACGGCACAGGACGGGCACGGGCAGGCTCGGAGCGTGTCGGCCGGGCCGGGGCCGGGCCGTGTGGAGGGGCCGGGGCGTGTAGCGGGCCGGGCTCTGTGGCGGGGCTGTGTGACGGGGCCGGGCCGTGTGGCGGGGCCGGGCCGTGTGGCCGGGCGGGGTTGTGTGGCGGGGCCGGGCTCTGTGGCGGTCCCGCCCCGCAGCTTTAAGCGGACGGCGGCGGGCGCGGGCCCCGCGGCGGCGATGGCGCTGCGCTGCGTGCTGCTGCTGCTCTGCGGAGCCGCGCTGGGACCCGCCGTGCACCTGGACTTCGCCGAGCACCGCAGCCAGGCCGCCAAGATCAAGGTCAACCCCCGCGGCAACCTCTGGGCCACAGGTACCGGGCGGGGGCACAGGGACCCCGGTGCGGGCGCGGTGACATCCCGCGCTGTCCTGCGGCTGCCTGTGCCAGCCCAGCGGGGACGGGCATGCTGGCACTGCCGCGATGTCACCTCCACCTGCATCCCTGGGCAGCCCGTCCGACATCCCCGACAGGCTGAGCAGTCTGGCATCCCTGGGTGCGAGGTTCACATCCCCGGGTGGCATCTCTGTAACCGCGGAGATCTCGTCAGCGGGAACAGAGAGGGAAGTTTCCCAAAAATCCCACGTGGAGCGAGGAGCTGGCGTTTCTGGGTTTCTCTTGACTCGGCTGGTTTGGGCGTTAGGTGCAGGGTGGCCGGTGCAGCTCAGCTGGAGCCCTGTGTCCCCCAGACACCCCGCGTGTGCTGTTGCAGGTCACTTCATGGGGAAGAAGAGCGTCACAGGCTCCCAACACCTGGAGGCTGCCGAGGAGCCTGCAGTGCCAGTGGTCTTCGGTCCCTCTCTCCGAGCCCTGCTGGAGGACATGATGGAACTGCTGACCCGGGAGCTCCTGAAAATCCTCTTGCAAGAAAGGCTACTGGATGAGAACCAAGGGAAATACGACCTCACTGGCCAGGTGAACATTTACTTAGCTAGAGGGAGATGCTCAGAGCAGAAAAGTGGAGGAGCTCTGCTGGAGAGGGGAGCACCTGCACAGCTGCTGGAGGTGCACTCCCCTCTTTACCCTCCTTTTAGCCCTCCTTAAGCCACTTCCTAAGACCACACATAAAGGGAGAGAGGAGAAGTGTCCTGAGGCTTGTGTCTAGCTGGGCAGTGACAAGTAGTCCCAGGTGCTTGGGAAGGGTGTGAGGATGAGCAAGTAACTCTGCAATAGAGCTGTGACAGCAGTGGTGTCCAGGGGGTGTTAATAAGCTTCCTCAGCCAGATGCAGAAGAGGATGGTGTCCCCCATTCCAAGGACAGGGAAATCCCTTCTCTGTCTTATCTCCACAGCAGGAGACCAAGAGGGGACACGGTATGTGAAGGGAAAGGCATCTGTCAAGCAAAGAGCTTTGGTTCTGTGTCACTGTAGCTGGGATCCCTCGATGCTGAGGGCACAGAGCCTTGCAGGGAGTACGTGTGCATTGGTCATGCTGCTGCAGAACAGGTTTTGGGGAGCAGGGAGAGGGCAGGAGCTCCGCTGCTGCCACTGTGTATCAGCAGACCCTCACTGTGGCTTTTACCTTGGAGCTCGCTCAGCTTCTGGTGTAAAACCTGCCCCTGGGAGCAATGCACGGGCACAGATCCTCAGGCAGGATGCACAGATCGAATTGCTCAGTCCAGAGATGGAATTTCTGCATCCATAAATGGAATTAGTCTGTGTGGTCTGCTTGTCTGTTGCCTCCTGCACACCTCCCTGGTGTCTCACCCTTTCCAGTCACTGCAGGAAGTAACTGGGAGTCTAAAAAGGATGAAATCCTCTTAGGTCAGTCCCACCTGTGCTGTCCCCCTGAGGCAGATGCCTGAGGAGCTCTCCAGCAGCACTGCATGCAGGTGAGGCTGTTTCTGCTGTGCAGGGTTAGGCAGGGCTTGCTCCTCTCTGGCACAGGTGGAGCAGAGTGGCAGGACTGGGAGCCACTGGTTGCTCAAGCCCCTTTTGGACTCACTGCCAGCAGATTGAGGTAAACTGGTGCATCCCAGAGAGCTGTTCCCAGAGGGCTTCCCACAGTGAAGATACAGCTGGGCATGGTGAAGGCACCAGCCCATCCACTCCCTGTGCAGTGTGCTGTGCTGGGCTGCTGCAGTGTTGGCACTTCAGATGCAGCTGGAGGGGAGATGAGGGCTGTGGAGGTTCTGGACCCTTCCTCATCCCCCACAAGGAACCTTTGAGCAGGAGGGCACTTGTTGGGAAGATGGGAGAGCTGGCAGATGTGCTGCCCTGCCTTGTTTCTGAGCGTGGTGTGGATTTGGTAGAGCTGCTCCCTGGGGCTCCCCCCTGCATGGGAGGGCTGCTCCTCTCTGCTCACGTTGCAGATGTGCCTGTGCAAAGTGCACAGGTGCTGTGCTGTGCCCCAGGCTCCAGCTGGGTGCCAGAGCCCTGCCAGTGCTCATTCCCAGAGCTCAGGGTGGGTACAGGGTGGCACTGGTGCCAAAGCACTGCTGCTGGAGGTGATTTGTCTGTGGCCATGCAGGTCCTGGCTAGTGCCCACCTTGGTGCCTCTCTAGGGCAAGCTGGGCTGGTGTGCCCACACATGGCATCACAGCTGAGCTGCTTGATGTGCAGCTGGCTCCTGCCCCTCACTTTCTCTTCCCAAAGCCTGAAGGCTCTCCCTGTCAGTGTTCTGCTCCCCTTGGTCACCTTGCTGGGTGTTGTTTCTGGTTTTGCTCCTTGGGCACCTCTGAGCACTTCACTTCCCCAACTCCTGCCCCTCCTGCTCCCTTCTCCCACCCATCCCCAGGGCATCCTCACATCTGTGCTGTTGTGAGTATTACAGAACTGCTTCTCCCCATTGCCTCTGAGTGCTGTCCACATTATGCTGTTCTGTGTGACCTTATTGTTTCTTGCTCTTGTGGTTGTCACAGTGCCAGTCCAAATTCCTGCCACCCTGACATCTTTCCCCCCCTCAGCATGACTGTTGTTGGACCCCAGGTGTCAGCACCCAGCCTGAACTTATCTGTGTGCTGTGTTCCCACCTTCCTCACAGCCTTTTTCACTGCTCTGCCCTGTGAAGCTCCTGTTCCATGCCCTGCTCAGGATCTGTTGCTTCCTTCTCAAGCCATGTGTGGCAGACAGGGTTTGGCTCTCAGCGTGCTGGGGCTTCACAGCGCTGCCACGTTGCTGTGTGTGACAAAGACTGGGCTGGCAGAGGAGGATCCTTCCCATCCTTTGGCATCTCCTTGGGTGTGTGGCATTGACTCCCCAGGATGCAGAGACCACGAGTGTGGAAGGGAACAGCTCCAGGGTTTGGGGAGAGCCCTTCTGCTGAGGGCAGCTGCTGCCCTGTGTAGCTCTGGGACCTGTGGTCAGTGCCAATCCTACAAACCCTCTGTGACTCTTCCCTGCTGTGTTTTCTGTCTCTTTTTGCCTTCTGCTGAATGAGGCTCTCCCCTGAAGCTCAACCCAGTGGCTGCTGCCTCACTGGGATGAAGCTCCCCTCAGACATCTGATTGTGGTTCAGCTGTTGGAGCACAGATGGAAGCTTCTGGCTCTGTCCTTCTCTTGTGCCATGCCAAGCCACCCCTGCAGTGCCATGGTGCTCCAGCATGGGATGTTTGTCTGCTCTGCCCCACGGTACCAGCATGGGTGGTGATGGTGGTGGTTGTGTGCATGGCCCCATGTCTCACTGTTGTGTCTTGTTTTGTAGGAGACAGGGCTTTTAACAAAGGTGCTGGAGAAGTACTTCTCAAACTGAAGAGATGGGGAGGATGAGGTCTGCAAGGTCAGCTGTGCCTGGTGAACAGAGGAGAGCATCGTCCTTGTGGGTTTCTACAGCAACATCACTTTTATTTATTTCTGAAATATTGTTAATAGTGATGGTGTGTGTGAAGGTGGAGCCTCCCTGTATAGTTCCTGTATGTTTTGTGTTTCCTTGACATCTGATGTGCCTGTGTGAATAAAACTGGTTCTTTGCACAGACTCTTCTGTGGGGGGTAGGGAGGCAGAGCCCCAGGGCTTGTGAAGGGGAGTGGGAGCACCTTGAGGCAGGCTGAAGGGAAGCTCTCAACAGCTCAGAGGGGTTGGGTTCAGCCCCTGCAGCCTCTGCTCACTGAAGGAGACCCTGACATGATAAATCAGCACACCTGGGTGAGCTGATCACACCACTCATACTGGAGCATTTGTGACCCTCTTTGCTGGGAGTGTTCCCAGCAAAATCTTGTCCTGGCAGTGGTGGGATTCTGGCTCAGAGTCCTGGCCTTGTGGCAGCTCAAGGTTAGCTACAGGCTCCCTGGCCACCAAGCACTCAGTCTGGTTATGAGGCTGCTTTGTGACGATGGCTCAGTGCTCCCTCAGTCACTCACAGGGATGACACTCACAGGGGCAGAGGTGCAGCCCTGGGCCCTTGGCTGTGCAGGATGGCAGGAGAAGGGAGCTGGGGCCTGGCTGAAGTGGCTGATGGAACAGTCCCATGAGCAGACTCTGGGTTTATACCTTCTCAAAGTGCAGCTCACAGAGGCATCCTATGGCTGCCAGCCACTTGTGGGGTCATAGAATGGGCTGGGTTACAAGGCATACCTTGTGGCCACATTCCAGGGGCAGGGACACCTTCTGCTATCCCAGGTTGCTCTAAGCCCTGTCCAGCCTGGCCTTGGGCATTTCCAGGGATGGGCCAGCCACAGCTTCTCTGGGCACCCTGTGCCACATCCTCACCGCCCTCTCAGGGAGGAATTCCTTCCCAATATCCCATCTAACCCTGCCCTCTGGCTGTGGGAAGCCATTTCCCCTTGTCTTGTCACTCCAGGCCCTTGTCCCCAGTCCCTCTCCAGCTCTCCTGGAGTCCCTTTAGGCACTGGCAGGGGCTCTGAGGTCTCTCCTGATCCTTCTCTTCTCCAGGTGAGTAGTTGCTACCATGTCAGCCTTTCCTCAGAGCATCTCCATGGCCCTGGAGATGTCCCAGGAAGAGCAAAGCCTGGCAGCAGAGCTCAGAGTGATGCCATAAATAAAACCATAACCCACAATTCTGGTGAAAAATTCAGCCTGATTCTTTGATCCCACAGTGGGAGAGCCCTTTGCACAAGAACAGGAACCTCAGAGCCACTTCACACCAAGGCAAGGGCTGATCCAGCATCTGAAGTTGCTGATAACCAGTAGAGGGATCAAAGCCATGGTAGGAGACCTTCTCACCATGCTCCCTGTTCTTCCAAGGACAGTTCAGATCCTGTGGAGCCTCCTGTTCCTCCCTGGAGCACTGCTTGGCTGCAGCCTCTGGGAAGAGCAGCCCTTTGAGCCTGCCAGGTGCCACGTGCTGCTGGTGAACAGCCCACCTGCAGCACCCCTGCAGCTATTCCCTTTGTGGGTTCTTCATGGGCTCCTGCCCACCAGCTTTGCTCAAGAGGGTTTTCCACTGTCCTGCAGCCATTCATGCAGCAATCCTTCCTCTAACATCTCCTTCTTTGCCAAGACTTGCTGCTGTGTTCTGGGATGTGGGTGACCCCCAGCTCACCTTTTCATTAGCTGGAGTAAAGCTTTGACTTAAAACTAATTATTGGCAAGAAAAATAATGACACTGTGGATTGTGTTTGACATCTGGAGGAAGCCAGATGCCCCTCAGGCAGCAGTGTGAGGGACTGACAGCCCTCACAGTAATGGGGTTCCTGCCTGGATGTGTCATGGGACCACCCTGACAAGCTCACTGGAGGGGGAGCAGGTTCCTGGCCATGAGGCACGCAGGTGAGATCCTCATTCTCCCTCTGACCCAGCCAGAACCTGTCCAGCTCCCTGTCTGTCTGTCCATCCCCAGCCCCCCATCACTCCTCTCTGGGTTGAGATAAAGAAGGGTGAGGTCACTTGTTAACTGCTGCCATGGGCAGAACTGGCTCACCTTGGGGAATATAAGTTAATTTATTGTCAATCCATTTAAGATTTGATTCAGGTTTTGGGGAAAACAACCTCCCCACTCCCAAGCATTTCCACACCTGGGGAAGGCACCTCCCTCCCCTTTGCCAGGCTCACCTCCAGCACCTCTCCTGCTCCTGCTGTCCCTGCAGGTGACACTCAGTGCCCTTGTGGGGACAGCAGCTGAAGCAGGAGGGACACACCTGCTCTTCCAAGGGTGAGGCTTGCACAGGCAGTGCCCTGCATGGCAGTGATCATTCCAGGAGTGTGTGTTCCACTCTCCGCATCCTCTCTGAGCTGGCCCCGAGCCCTGAGTGCTTGTACCTGCCTTGGACATCACCCTGCGAGCACAGGGGGACTCAGGCTGGGGAAATCTCAGCAGATCTTAGTTCAGCCACCTGCCCAAAGCAGCATGAGCCCTGAGCTCAGGCTGGGTTACTCAGGGCTGGAAAACCTCCGCGTATGAAGGAAGGCTGGCTCCACTGCTCAGCTGCTTCAAAGTTTCTGTTTATCCCTCACAGGCAAACAACTACTCAAGCCCTAAGTCACTATTCCCTCTTGAGTTTAGATTACAAACTGAGAGGATCAGGAAAGCTTTTGAGGAAGCTCATCATGTTTTGGCAATTTGATGGCTCTGCCCTGTCATCCGCCTTTCTGACATTTACCTGCTGGCCCACAGCGTGCACAGGCTCAGCACAATGTCCTATCACTCACCAGCTCATGTCCTTAGGAAAGTTCCAGGACCAAAGCTTTGTGCCCAAGCTTAGGAAATGAGTAAATTCTTCACTCTGGGTTTTTTCCCAGCTCTGATTTGTTTCCCTTGCTCCTCTGGTTTGAGGCTAACTCTCCATGCTGCTGCTGGGGCTCAAGTCCTTGCTCACAGCTGTTTGTGCACACTGCAAGCAGAGATGCGACCTCAGGGTCACTGGGACGACTTTCCTGGGGTGTTCAGACCTGGAGCATGTTTTCTTGGAAGCCCTGAGAGCTCATGGGCTCTGTGACCTTTGCTGTTCCTGGGCTTCCCCCACAACCTGAGGCTGTGGCATGGCCCCAGGGGTAGGAAAAGAACATGAGGGGACATAAAAAGACATAAATCACCTTCACAGCTGGCATTTGTGTCTTTGGCTGTGGGAGTGACTCAGAGCAGGAGCTGGCTCGGAGGGATGTCAGTGAAATCCACTGCCACCACTTGGTGTCATTGCTGTCCCAGGCTTGGGACAGGGCTCGCTGACAGAGGACACACTCCTCCTGAGCTCTTGCAAAGACATCAGGCCACAGGTTGGGTTGTTCCCTCCTCTGAGGTGCTTGGGGACCTCTCTTCCAGAGGAGATAACAAGCCAGCAGCGAGGAAGGGAGGGAAGGAAGCAGAAAGTGAAGCAGGAAGGGAAGGAGGCTGCCACCAGGAATCAAAACATCAAATTCCATTGCCTCCCCATGCTCCTCCAGGGAAAGCTCTTCACATCCTGGTATGAACATCCAACCCTGCCCTGATCGAGGTAAATCCAGCCAGGACAGCAGCTGGGACAACCCAAGGAAGGGAGTTTCCAGAGCTTGGCACTGTATCCAGACGATTTCCAGGGAGCAGGGCATCCTAGTGCAGAGCAGGAGAGGCTAAAGGCAGTGTTCTCAAACCACAGAGGGATCCCAGGTGGCCAAAAGGCCAACAGCAGCTGGCTTGTAGCAAAACCAGAGTGGCCACAGCCCAGGGCAGTGCCTGTGCTGGCACTGCTGAAACACCTCCAGCCCTGGGGGGAGCTCTGGGCCCCAAACAGAACATTGAGGGGCTGGAGTGTGTCCAGGGAAGGGAACAGAGCTGGGGAAGGAGCTGCAGCACCAGGAGCAGCTGAGGGAGCTGGGGGGCTCAGCCTGGAGAGAAGGAGGCTCAGGAGGGACCTTGTGGCTCTGCACAGCTCCTGACAGGAGGGGACAGCTGGGGGGTCGGGCTCTGATCCCAGGGAACAGGGACAGGAGCAGAGGGAATGGCCTCAGGCTGGGCCAGGGCAGGCTCAGGTTGGACATCAGGAGAATTTTTTCATGGAAAGGATGGTCAGGTATTTATTGAAAGGGGTTGCTCTGGAGAGGGAGTCCCCATCCCTGGAGGCATTCAAGGAATGGTTTGATGTGGCATTCAGTGCTCTGGTGTGGCTGGCAAAGTGGGGATTGGTCACATACTGGACTCAATGGTCTTGGAGGTCTTTTCCAACCCTAGTGATCCTGGATTCTGTAATAAGGCATACAGAGGCCTTTTCCTTATGATATGACCCACCAGCTCACTTTTCCCCGTCACTCACCAGCCTCTGGGAAAATCAAACTGGTAAAGATGGCACTGAGAGGGTGATGGGGCCTTCAGACACTGGGGTATGCATTTAACAAAGGCCAGCTGCTCCTCAGTCAGCACCAGGGATTGCCTGCGGAGCTGGCCCTGCCCAGCCCAAACCTTCAGGCACAGCAGAGTGGGATGAAGTTCCTGCAGTGCTCATAAAGAACATGCTGCAGAAAACAACCTGGGTTATTCCTGCCTCAGGCAAAGACAAACCCATTGTGGGATTCCTTCCACTCAAGGACCTGAGTGCACTTTGTGGGTGAAGCGGGAGGATGGGAAAGGGCGATGTGTGCCTCAAGGTGATTTAATTTAGGGTGAGAACAGCCAATAAATTCAATTGTATGAAGTTAGCTGGTACATAATGCTGTGTATAATCACTTCTAGACGCTCCTCATGCCACCAGGCACCTCCCAGCACTGGGGAGGATTTGGGGATCTGAACCTGACTCCTCTCTGATCATCAATTAACAAAATATGAACTTTGATGAAACTGGACGAGTGCAGTGGTGATGGAGCAAGAACTGGCTTTAACATGGAACAAACTTTTGCTGCCCTGAAAGACAGCTGGAATGCTATGCTATGGTCAGAATGAGCTCAGTGGGCTTTCACAGGCGTCGTGCATCCATGAGGGAATGATCCATGTGTGAGTGCATCCGTGAGAGCACAGGAAAGGTGTCAGGGTCTGGCAAGTGCAGAACCTGGCACCATCAGTGATATGGGTAAGGGGTGGCTGCTGCCCTGGTTTTACTGGGATAAAGTTA